AACCCTATTTTAATTCTGAACAGCATCTACACTGTATCTAACTGATAAGGTATGACTTTAGGTTTCTTATACTCAGCAAATGAGGAGAAAGAAGAAAGTTTCAAGACGCAAACGTTAGGAGAAAGGCAAATTTAATCTCACAGGATTTTCATTCTATTTGTGTGGTGTAGGAGATACATGCTTTCTGAAGTTGCCTGCACTTGCAGAATATTAACTGAAACAAAGTAATTGCACTAACTACATTCTTTGATCTGGAACGTCACTGGTTAGTATACTTTCAGTCTTCACTGGATTGGCCATCTTCTCACATATCATTTTTTTTCCTTTTACACAGTCATCATAATCAACATATATTCCTCTTAGATATCCACAATACCTCTCATTTAAGTCAGTTGTGTTTCTTATTTCCCTGAAAGAGAAAATAAAGAATTACATTTGGCAAGTCAGATGTTTGAAACATATTTACAAAAAAATTTTACTTTTCCAACAAGACATTATTTCCCCTGGGTCTGTATGGTCTAAGCTAAATTTGATTTAATGTTCAGAGTATCAAGAATGTACAAGTTAGTTGCCTTTATTGATTAATATGCAATGTCAAATGCTGGTTTATTTCTCCCTGCTTTCTCTACTTTCCCACATCTGGAGTATTTACTATCTTTTACTTCCAGACTTAGCACCCCCATCCCTTCCACATCTAATATGATTTAGAATTCCATTCCATAAGTTTCTCTAGTCTAACTGGCTCAGTAGTAAATCTTTGACATTGTCTTCCGAAAGTGTTTTTTGTAATCACCAAAACTGGGAATTAACCTGATGTATGACACCTTAAGCTCAACATCATTTCCAAATGACATTTCCTTCTAGACAGTTTTCAGAGATTTTTACTCTAAAGTTCTGATTAATTACCAGCCCACATACTAGATTAGTGATCAGGAACTATGTACTAAAGAAAAATTTATAAATTAAAAGTATCTACCCAAAGAAAAAGAAGTCATTATATGAAAAATACACTTGCATTCATTATGTTCATTGCAGCACAATTTACAATTGCAAAGACATGGAATCAACCTAAGTGCCCATCGACTGAGGAGTGGATAAAGAAAATTGTGGTATACACACACACACACACACACACACACACACACACATACACACACACATACACACACACCATGGAATATCACTCAGTCATAAAAAAGAATAAAATAATGTCTTTTGCAACAACTTGGATGGAACTGGAGGCCATTATCCCAAGTGAAGTATCTGAGGCACATAAAAACAAACACCACATGTTCTCACATATAAGTGGGAGCTAAACAACGGGTATGCATGGTCACACAGAGTGGTATAATGGACACTGGAGACTCAGAAGGGGAAGGGTGGGAGAGGGGTGAGGGATAAAAAATCACTTATTGGGTACAATGTACACTATCCAGGTGATGGGTACACTAAAAGCCCAGACTCTACCGTTACACAATTCATCCATGTAACAAAAAAACATTTACACCTCCTAAATCTATTGAAA